GGATTCGAAAAAATCTGATATGCATCGTGTTAAGAGTGTATATATATGATAATATTTTGATATAGAATATCGAATAAAAATGGAAAAACCATGATCTTACAGAAAATACTCGCAATTTGTCATCGAGACTTGAAATTAATTTCTTATGTGGCTTACAAGCGCAGTGTTGTAACATTTTTTTATACTGAAAAGATCGACGTCAGCTCCGGGACCTATATACCAACTGTTAGTATATAGGTCCCTGGTCAGCTCTAAGACTGAACATGAATACATTACAAGTGCATAGTTTTAAGTAAGTACTTCGATTTTTTGACATGAACTTGATTTAATGTTTGAATCTCTTTTCAATGCAGATTTTTATTTTTCAGTTGAATGGGCATTCCAAATTACTTCTATGGAAACACTAAACATAAACCATGTAAAAAGAAGCGAACAACTATTCGCAAAAAATGGGGATTTTTCTTACAAAATCATGTGCATGTCCCAGCAATTAGATTAACTTCTTTATTTTAAATTGTATTCAAACCATGCAGATCTGAAAAATGACATGGATATTAATTGAAAAAACAAAATGAATAAGATTTTGTCGCTGTAAAAAAATTGGTTTCCATGATCATAACGGTAATTCAGGAGTGTTTTTGCATTCATGGTATAAACGGGAGCAAAATACATACTTTATAAACTTCATTAGAATAAACTTTAAATATAGGCCTAAGCACTGCCGAGGTTTTAAACTTTTAATGCTAAAAATTAAAAATTTATGCATCAACTAACGTTTTTTTTAAGACCCCCCCAGAAAGTTGACATTCATAACATTATTAATTCATATAACAGTATTCCAGGTGTGTTTTCAAGGTTTAAACAGATATATGATTTTGGGAGCAAAATACGTAGTTTTTAAAACTTTTTAAAACTAAAATTTAATTTTTTGTACCGCCGAGGATTTTGATTTTTAGCGCTGAAAATTAACGCCTATATCAATTAACGTCCGTAACGAACCCCCCCCCCCCCCGGAAATCTAATACCAGATTCGTGCCATGCTTTAAAAATTATTATTTGACCTTTCTACACTCGGCATTAAAACGAAATGTCAGCTTGTCTTACTTCAATAATAGTGAGTCATTCATAAGCAACATCTACTGTAACATTGTCTTTTGTTATAACCACTGGTATATCAAAACATGTTGTAAACAGCTAGTTAACAATACCAGATTGAAGAGAGTTGGAATCCAGGGGCATTCATACGGAAAAACCCCTACATAAACAAATACATGGGCGCAGACATTTTGGACACCCAAAGTTGTGCGGAGGAGAAAATGCTACCTGGCGCGTGATTGGTCAATAAGAGAAAAGACTTGTTATGTATTTGACAAGTGAAATAAAGTTGATAAAAATCTCATATCAAGACTTGGGTTTCTTTGAGATATATAGGAGTAACAGGTAAAAATTTGAAGGGAGGGGTGCTCTTTGGTTAGAGATTTTCAGTTGGTGTCAAACGCACCTTGTTGTAAACAAATGGAAATTGAAAGTAAAAGTGCCGCGTGACCATATATTTTTTCTGGCATGTTTTGTTTTCCAATATCTCGAACTTTCACGACAAAAAGGTCATTTGCCCGAAATTCAATATATGTATCAGTGAGAGGGGCTCACGTTTGTATGGAAGTCTATGGGAAAACATTTGGTGGTGTTTGTCCATACATGATTGTATGTCTTGGAGAAAATTTTGTTCAATTTGTGTTTATTTGAAGCAATTTTTGACTGCAGAAATAATACATGTACGATGTACTTGCATGAAATATATGTACTTATTAACTTGTTGACAAAAGATTAACCCGTTGCTACAGTTGGGTCGATTTTGCTGATGAACTCATAGGTAAAAGTTTCTTGATTAATGCTAATAGAGTTGAAAGAAGATTACCCTGTTAATATAACTATATACTAGCAGATAATAATAGCCGATACGAAAGGCAGCAACTCATCGATAATCATTAGATGGAATGTCATATCATGAAAGAAGAATATGTATGGTTAAGAGCTGATTTTGATGTATTGGTTGTAGGTTTATATAAACGTCCCTCGAGATTTTTCACTCAGCTGGAGATGTTAATCTTCTTAAATCCCTAAATGAAACGCCTCTAAAAATCTACGACTTAAAAAAACGGCAGGATAATTTTTTTAATTTTTTTTCATGAAATCTTATATATCGAGTTTTTGTCGATCACTTTATTGCAAAGTGGTTAATGTTCTGGAAGACGCGTATCCTGTCAAATTTAATTTGCTAATAAAGAAAACAAAGGAAAAGGCAGATGAGGTTTGGCAGCTCGTCTGACTGTCTTTCAGTCTGTCAATTTTACAAATATTTTTATGCAATGAAGCATCACTTCTTCATCAGCAAATAAATGAACATTTAGTTTCTTCTGAACATCGTATTTGACGTTTATGTCTTGTAAAATAAATAAAAATGCAAGAAAAAGAAGCAATTTGCAAAACTCCGTTAGCATTTATTCTCTTTGGACATTTATTCTCTTTGGACTGGAAACACGAAGCTTTTTATATTTCTGATTATTTTAGTTTTCAAATCCATATCTTTCAAAAGTTTGAGGAATATGTTTGACGCATGGACATGTTTTCTTTTTACCACAAATAAACTGCTTTAACCCCCCCCCCCCAAATCAATACTTTTAATTAATGGATCTACTTTCCTAGTGGGCAATTTTATTATTGCATCCTCTTGTCACGTGAATTTTGGGTTATGCAATCTATTAGACAAGTCATGAACTTCTTATAATAAGAGTATTAAATGTGATTTACAGAAATAGGTCACGATACATCTCGTTTATGTTATGCATCTGGAGATTTAAGGTACATTGATACTCTGATAAGAGAGATAACTCTTAATGACACAAATGTCTATTATTCCTTTATAAATTTGTCAAGTTTAAGTGCCTTTTTAGTCAAATTTTGCCCCGCACGCCATGTTATAATTGTTTGTATTTTATTCAGCATATACATTTCCTTTGGAAAATCATAAAAGTTAAAGAAAAATTTCATATGAGTGAGCAGAGGGTTTATGAACCTTAAGTTCTATATCTCAAGATTTTATTTTCATGTGTTGATGGGAATATACAAGTTTTAACAGTTTCAACAAAACATTGTACATGTATTTGTATGAAGTGTTTCAACTACTAGTAAATGAATACAGAGAGTGAGAGGGGAAAAATCGTTAGGGACGCGTAATTGGATGATATAATGGAAATAAGATTTTGCTTCTAGACACAAACGTTTTAGGAGGACGAGGGTTTTAATGAATATTGCTGACGTATATCTAATTTATCTACATTCACGGAGACAATAATTATTATAGATGATTTTGCAAATTAATTTGGCTTTATCACATATCAAGTTAGTACAAAAAAGTGATGAAAATTTCCCGCCAACTCAGATGATTTATCAAGGCAACATAATTGCACTTCATAAGTGCAAAACGGTGATAGAATTTCGTAAAACTGGAGTTGATTTAGTTATTAAGAAAATGTAATATACTGTGATCTCTAAGATCGACCCATCTGTTGTTAACAGTTTCCTCTCAAGTTTTAGGATCAATTACCAGCTGCTAACCGTGTTTCCGCATGGGATCCCGACATAAATGTTTGCATGGAAATTCCCGATTACAAGACGGGAAGAATCGGAAGATGTCTTCTGTGTATGAAAAGATAACTGTCATCACAAAGTTGACCAATGATCTCGGGAATAAAAGAATAATTTTTATTGAGCTCTCCATATGTTGCACAAGTATAAAGATATAAAATTATTTTTGTCGCCTACATATGTATAAATATATAAAGTAGGTATAGATCTTATCAAAATGTTATTGACTTTTTGATAAGCATATATCTAGTCTTTACGGTGAACGATGAACTGGAAAAAAATTTTTTCGCGACATGTAGAAAGAACAATTAATCACAGGCTTAGTTTCTCAGTTTTTTTCTGCATGAATATTGTTTTGTCTGTGACAGAAAATTTGAAATATAACAAATTAGCATAAAAATTATTTTGCTAATTTAAAAAAAAAAATGAAATGGGAATTCAAAAGAATATTGAAAATTGTATGGATTGTACATGCATATTTTATTTTAATTTTCGATTTAAGGAATTAGATGTCCATCTTTTCAATATAAGTTGGTCGAATCATGATCTTAGCTTGAAACCAGGGACCAATTTTTTAATTTATTTTTTCTAACATTAATTTCAATATGCATTATCTGAAACTGTACAGATAATACATGCATTGTGATACTATTTTGATGTCAAACAAACACCGCTAATTATCTTACATGTATAAGGTTGATTAGTCGTTAATTTACTTTAAAATGTCTTTTTTCTCGGTGAAAATTTTCGTTGATTGAGGGGAAATTGTATTGATTTGTGTGGATTTGATTACGTGGTGAAAGGAAGACACGCTACTAGTGTTTGGAATTTTCACATTTCGCATGCATTAGTGGTCTTTTCACAAAATGAAATGAAATTACCAAGAAAATGTTTTTATACAGACTGTTTTTAAGAATTCAATCTTATTTAAAATTAATACTTTTCTTCAGAGAGATAATTCAAAATGAATAATTTTAAATGAAATTAGTGCTCAATATGGAATGCCATTATAAATATATATATATACACACACTGTAATATTCATGAACAGTTGTTTTAAATTTTTTTTACAAAAAGGAACATTTCTGATATTTAATATTCAATTCTTTTTATAAAAAAATAATCATAATCGCAAGTTTATGATTTGTAAAAGTTTACAATCAATTTGCAGAAAATCAAGAATCCGTTTATTAAAATCATTCACATCATACAATCGTAAAAATTGTTATTCGTCATGAGATATAATTCACTTTCTTTTTTCATTTTTTTTCTTGTTTAAAATAAATTTGACTAGACATGGTCCCCCTCCCGCTGGAGAGAAGGGGGGGGGGCTCTTTCTTACTTTGACTTACCTGGGGTACGCTAAATAAGGCACTGAGGAACCACGACATGATGATCATTATTTTCACCCTCTGTGGAGCCTTGTTCCGGCTAATTGGGTCAGTAATTACACAGCACCTATCTAGGCTAATCACAACAGTAATGTACGTGGACACTAAAAGCCCCGTCCCCTGTATGAAGCGCAGCATCTTGCACATGGCCACGCCTGCCACCCACTGGACTGTCAATGCCCAAATAGCTTCCGCTGCCATGCAAAAGAAAGTAACAATGAGATCCGCTATTGCCAAATTCACAATGAGTGTATTTATCGTGGAGCGCCGTTTGCGAACACGGTACATTTGAATTAAAGTCGCTGTATTTCCTATTAATGATATGGTAAAGAGAACAACAAGTACTACTGTTTTAATTAATTGGTCCTGGAATGTTGGTGGAAGGGGGGAAGTGGAGTCAACAGTGAACAAATATTCAGCATCCGTAACGTTGGCCATAATTTCAGATCCGTTGGATTGCACTTCGCCTAGCGCTGAAGAAGAGATTCCGTAACTTTGGTACGGCGCTATATGAGGAGAATTTCCAGCCATACTTAATTTCGTCACAATTTTAACACATTGTTTTTTTTTTCTTTTTTAAATATTTTTGCAATTATGTATTTTTAGCAAGTATTCGCAATAGTTTCATTTTAAGTATCGGAAGCGCTTTCGAGCTGCTGTGGCTTCCTAATGATTCACGCTGTTCTTATAATGGGGAAAATCTTCACGAATTGACGATATCGATTATATGTCTGGATGGCGTGGTTTCATATAAAATCCTTTCCTCCTTTGAACAATTGTTCATTCCTTATATTACAGAGTACCTGTGTACGATGTCCATATCACGATTCGGACGGTTCTTATAAATCCATGTTTTCTCATTTTTATTATTTCGACAAATATGAGGAAAATGTAAAACATGATTTTAATGTTCCGAAACAATTAAATCAAGAAATAGTTTTCATTTTTTCTATGTTAAGAGATGTTTTACAAATCTGAAACGCCCTTGGACTGAAAACTTACCAACACTTGTAGTGGATTTTTGTAACTGTTACAAATGTTGCATGCTGGGTAAAAACCAATTAGTATACATTCACAACAGGTATAAATTTTGGTTTTTGTGACCATTGACATATTTTATCTAATTAAGCAAGTATCGCTGACCTGTTGAAAAAAGAAAATATATTGACAGTATGTTAGTAAAATTGCCATTTGAATTGATAAATATTTGTCCCCCGCTTGAAAAGTGGGGGATATTAATTTGGGTTTGTCCGTCCGTCCGTCCGTCCGTCTGTCCGTCCGTCCGTCCGTCTTTCTGTCTGTCTGTAACGCTTTCGTTTCCACACGATATCTCGAGAACCCTTTGAGCTTTTGCAATGAAATTTAGCATAGCAACTCCCTATGGACTAAAGAAGACCCCTATTGATTTTGAGGTCAAAAGGTCAAAGGTCAAGGTCATAAATAAGCAAATTCTGTCTGTTAAAACACTTTCGTTTCCACACGATATCTCTAGAACCATTTGAGCTATTGCAATGAAATTTTATATAACAACTTCCTGTGGCCTAATAAAGACCCCTATTGATTTTAAGGTCAAAAGGTCAAAGTTCAAGGTCGTAAATTTATACATTCTGTCTGTGTGTAATACTATTATTTCCGGGCGATATTTCAAGAAGATTTTGAGCATATGCAATGTAATTTTATATCAAAACTCCCTAGGACGTCTCTCGCCCCTCTCAAAGTGCCCCGCCCCGTTTGCTTTATTAGTATTTATAGTATTACATGTCGCTATTTTTAGCGCAGGGGTATGAGGAGAGTTATTGCGTATAAAACAGGTTCTCGGCGGACTTTATGTTCTTATTACATCTATTAGAAATGTTTAATAAAGGCTAAATAAATCAAACACCATGGATTATGTAAAATTTTGAGAATACCGAACATGAAAACATGAATATATACATGTATGTGACTTCACTTCTGCATATACTTCACACCATGTTAAGTGATTCCGTGGTCTAGTGGTTATGTCTCTCGCTTCAAATGTGAGAGGTCCCGGGATCGAATCTCGGTCGAACCTTTCTTTTTCTTTTTTTAAAAATACTTTTTTTTTACTAAATGATAGTATTCAGCATGTGAAATGAAAAATTTATGAGGTTATAAAATCATCATTACAGTGTGATAAATTCCATATAAAAAAAACTTCTATACACATAATGAAGAATGAGCAATCAAATCTTTATATGCATATTGACATACACGTATTTTATTTGCTTCAGTATACATGTATACATTTAATAATTCTACAAAAGTTGATAAGCGGGGGACACGAATTCTCTGAATTAGCTTGTTAATTATTATGACATTAAAATTGTATCAAACGTCGTTAAGAAATAAGCAAATAAATTAACCACTATAATAGTCAATGGTTAACATCTCCGATCAAGTTACCAATATCTTAATAAAATATTGAGGTGAATCCAGTAAAGTCCAATCTTACGTGGTACACGATTTTAATTGCACCTGTACGAAAACGAACAATTATTGAATCCATTCATATTTATACAAAGTCATGTACACTGGTTAATACGTAAACATTATACATATTAATTAAATTTTACGATATGAACTTATGAATGCCAAAGACATAATTCCATCACCCCGCCTCCAACAAGATAAATAAAGGTCTAAACGGTTAAATGATTATAATCCAACCCTGTAGTGGGTCTATTATAATAATAAAACAAGAGACCCATCGGTAACATCGTTCACCTTAGTACATTGGCCAGTAAAAACACAAATCTGTTCAGTAATTAATATTTTACAGGGGGGGGGGGCTTAAATTTTAAATTGCCTGAGGGTGCTTTCATATCAGTGTAATGCGTGGGTTTTTTGCTCAGCAAAAAATTTATATAAAGATTTTACCCTACATGTATTCTTTTTCGAAAACTTGATTCCAAATTATTGTCTCTCTTTACCCCCGTGGTTCATGAATCGTGAACACACTTGAATTAACACTACTTGATGATGTTTTTATCAATGAATTTTCTACTACATAACTATGTGTATGTAAAACTTTGATGCCCCATTGTAGCCCTACTCTACCCTAGTGGATCATGATTTGAACAAACTTGAATCTATACTACTTCACAATGCCACCATATCAATATGACTGAACATGTCTTTCTAAGAGGATGTTCGAAGATTTTTTTCTTAAAAATTACTTTAACTATTATCCACCTTTGTGACTCCAGCCTAATCCCAGGGGTCATGATTTAAACAAACTTGAATATATACTGTGTATACCTATAGGTTACCTATTTGTTTAATTTTTTGGACAAGTGGTTCTTGAGAAGATTATAAGAACATGTCACCAATATCCTATTTCTTGATTATCTCCACTTGAATGAAAGCCTGGCCTCTCATTGGAAAAAAAAAACAACTTGAATCCCCGTTGTGGGAAGTTTTGCCGAAATTGACCCATTGATTCTGGAGAAGTCTACCGACGGACGGACAGCAAGCCGGAGTACTGGCAAAAGGTAATCAGAAAAGCTTACTTGAGCTTTCAGCTCAGGTGAGCTGACAAGGGCACCGAAAAAAGGGGTATCCTCTCTTCAAGAGCATATAATTTTATAAATCAAGGCAGCATTCGACATGTCGATGCAAATTACCCCACTTCCGTTTCGCACGGAATTATCTCACATCTTCATAAACATTATATCCCCTCTAACTTTGTTGCGAGGGGATAACAGATACAGATGCTCAAAAACAAGACAGATAGGGTAATCAGGAACTACCCAATTGTCTATATTTCCCACTTCTATAAAATACCAGAATTAACAACAATGATTAAGCATAAAACATATTAGGCCTATTCACCTTGTATTTACAGTTGGATAAACATGTCATTGACCGCTCCTGGTCTTTTGATAACATTAATATTTTAATACATGTACAGATATCAGGAACTTTGGCTATAATATTCACAAAGTGATTTGTTACCTCACGACACTCTGTGAATACTAATTCAGTCATGTGGCTTTTAAGGTAGCCATGTTTAACTTATTAGGATATTTTGATCAGAAGCTATAAATAGTATGGACGTGCTTGTATTTTTTATTTCGTTTTGAAACGTGTAGATCGTATACTTGTGCTATACAAGATAGAGAGGGAGATGGGAAATTGAATTGTTTGTCTAAAGTCGTTTTAACATGTAAATTGTGGTTTCATATTGACTGGGCTTTTAAATATACAAAAGTGAAATCAAATTAAGAAGTATATACAACCAGAGGAATCAACAAGAGGCCCATGGGCCACATCGCTCACCTGAGTAAGTATGGGGATGCCGTTCTTTAACAGATTTCCTCCCTTGTAATACCTATTGTGGCCTCGCTGTATCCCCTCCCCTTCCCCCATGTCACAATTTTAACAATTTAGATTCTACACTACCCAAGGCTGCTTCCACATAAGTTTCAGCTTTTCTGGCCCAGTGGTTCTTAAGAAGATTTTTAAAGTTTTTTCGTATATATTTGTATGTAAAACTTGAATTCCCTATTGTGGCCCCACCCAACCCCCAGGGGTCACGATTTTAACAATTTAGTATGTAAATTACCCAAGGATGCTACCACATAAGTTTCAGTTTTTCTGCCCAAGTGATTCTTGAGAAGAAGATTTTTAAAGATTTTTCTTATATATTTCTATGTAAAACTTTGATTCCCTATTGTGGCCCCGCCCAACCCCCGGGGGTCATGACTTTAACAATTTAGAATTTAAACTACCCAAGGATGCTTCCACATAAGTTTCAGCTTTTCTGGCCCAGTGGTTCTTAAGAAGAAGGTTTTTAAAGTTTTTTCCTGTATATTTGTATGTAAAACTTGGATTCCCTATTGTGGCCCCGCCCAACCCCCGGGGGTCATGATTTTAACAATTTAGAATCTACATTATCCTAGGATGCTTCCACATAAGTTTCAGCTTTTCTGGCCCAGCGGTTCTTGAGATGATTTTTTAATAACCCCACCTTATTTTTGTCTTTTCTTGATTATCTCCCCTTATGAGCAATCTTGGCCCTTCATTTTAAAAATTTAAACTCCACTTTACCTATGGATGCTTTGTACCATGTTTGCTTAAAATTCACCCAGTGGTTCTTGAGAAGTCAAATATGTGAAAAGTTAACAGACGGACGGACAGACAGACAGACGGACAAAATGTGATCAGAAAAACTCACTTGAGCCTTCGGCTCATGTGAGCTAACAAGAGGTCCATGGGCCACATCGCTCACCTGACAATCTTTTGTCATATTGTTCTTTACCAGATTTCCCCCTTGTAATACATATTGTGGCCCTGCCCTACCCCCTGGGGTCATGATTTGAACAATTTAGAATCTACACTACACCAAGGGTGCTTCCACATCAGTTTCAGCTTTTCTGGCCCAGTGGTTCTTGAGAAGAAGATTTTCAAAGATTTTTCCTATATATTTCTATGCAAAACATTGATGCCCCATTGTGGCCCCGCCCTACCCCCGGGGGTCATGATTTGAGCAATTTAGAATCTACACTACCCCAGGGTGCTACCACATGAGTTTCAGCTTTTCTGGCCCAGTAGTTCTTGAAAAGAAGATTTTCAAAGATTTTTTTCTATATATTTCTATGTAAAAATTTTATT